GCCTGCTTTCTACCTACACTCCTTTCCTCTTTTAAGTGCTGTGCCTTCTGACTTTGCTGTACTTAGACAATGCTGAAAGCTTGCCCACACTTTTCCTCCAATGTTATCTCTGTTCACACAAATGCTGGAGCACAACTGTGATCTTATGCAAGAACTCACTGGATTAAAGCAACTTTTAATCTTCCTTTATTTGTTAATGATGAATTCAGTTTAGTCAATGAATTATGGTACAGCACAAATACAAATGGATAAAAGCAGAAGACTGTCTGTATTGACCATGCTAAGGGCTCAGTTGCATCTGGCTGCTGTTTAGAATCCTTTCCACAGTTTGAGTCTTTTGTGAAGTCTGTTGCATAACCTTGATTTCAGCTGAGCGAAGGAGGGTTATTGCCAAGTTCCTACCTTTAGTTTGAAGACAGTAAAAACAGCTTTTTGAAAGCGTGTTTCAGGCACTGCAGTCCTGGGACTTCTCCGTCCTGGGGCCTGCTGCACTCATGCCAAAGAGGTGATTCTCCCAAAGCAGAGATGAGCCTTCAGGGATAAGTCTGAGAGGGCTGCTTGGGCATAATGATGCCTTAAACAAGCATATCTGCTTAATCAGTAAGACAATGCAATTCTGAGCGGTAGTGGCTTCCTTAGGCAGTACATTTACAGACAAATGAATAATTATCTAGAAATGCTTCCTTTGGGGTGCCTTAGTACATTATGGCTAGATACAGACATTCAAGAAGCCCAAGTCAGAATCAATCTAAATTATGTGGTTTTCTGTAGGATAGATCAGTAATGAACAGAACACACATTTGCCCTTTGGTGGTGGGGTGGGGGGAAGGAATCTTCAACTGGGTTCTGCCATTTTTAAACTAATCTATGTACACTGAACTTCTGTTCTGTTATGGGTAGAGACTGGTTTTGTGTGCCAAGCTTCTGTTCTGTTACAGGTATAGACTGGTTTCCTACCAGTGATACCAGTAAAAGTGTAATGTCTGTACATGGCCTACTTGTCTGTAATAAGGTGAAAAAGAAAACAGGTAGAACAAGAAACTTCCTGGGAGCTGTGGAGATGAGGTATGAAATCAGTATAATTCATTTTAGGATGCCATATCCAGAATTCTAGATTCACCAAGAGGTTGGTGTTTTACACTACAAGCACAGAATTGTATGTACCTAAGTGCAAGAGTGGGCAGACCAGACAGCTTTACTGGCTAAATGGCTGAAAAAATATTTCTCCCTGATCAAAGGAGTTAACCCTCTGAGAGGAGCATGTCATTAAGTGCTATATTAATATTTTGAGGTTCATGTGTAAGCCTATAAGTACTCTGACATCCACTCTGCCCCTTTACCTCATTTGTAAATTAGCAAATAAAGGAATGGATGAGCATAGAGCTGGAGACTTCCTTCTGCAGAATGGAGAGGGGAAAGGAGAACAACTGTTATTATCTAGTGCTTAATCCTGATGATGCCTGACAGGGGTGCGCGAAGCAGGCCCTATTCGATTTGGATTCGGCCTGAATCGGGGACAGTGATTCAATTTGTTGATTCGGATCACTGTCCCTGATTTGATTCGGCCGAATCTGAAGATTTGATGCTGACTCAGAGAATCAGCAATTCAGACACAGACACAGCTTTAAATGTTTTTTCTACATACTTTGAGGTACCAGCGTGGCTTGTGAATGCTGCAATGCTGGGGCGGATGGAGTGTCCTACAGGAACGCGGCAGGGGGGCCCTCCACATGCTTGGTGGTGAGCCCGGAAGTGGACCGGAAGTACCTCTGGTCTACTTCTGGGTCCGCTGGGGAGTGCATTGGGGAGTCCCCCACGCTTCTGTGGGACACTCCACGTGCCCCAGCATTACAGCATTCACAAGCCGCCTGCTACCTAGAGGTAAGTAGAAAAAACATTTAAAGCTGTGCCTATGTCCAAATCTCTGAATCTTTCTGAATCTCTCCAAATCGATTCGGAGGATTCTGATTCAATTTGAAGAGATTAAGGGGTCCTCTGATTTGATTCAGATTCAGAGATTCAGCCACTGAATCAGGCCGAATCTCCGACGAATCAAATCAGGGACTGAAACTTCACACAGCCCTAATGCCTGAAGTGCAGCAGCCTAGATTACTGTGCAAATACTTGCAAGATCAAAGGCTTTATAACAACTGTTTTACTACAACCGTCTGAAACAATGCAAATACAGATAATGGGAACAAACATTGTCTTTCTGAAACCTCTGTGCTCAGGGTGGATGGCAGTGGGGCAGGCAGTGGCAGTTCTGGAAGGGGTGGCTACGGAGTCGGCTACAGGCACCCCAAAATTCCCCATAGCCATCCCTCCTAGAACAACTGCTACCCACCCTGCCCCCACTCTGAGTGCAGCCCCAGCCCAGCAGTGGACAGCCCCAGGAAGAGGCCCCTGGCCCTGAGCCTGCAGTGGGCAGCCTGCCCTTGCTCCATGCACAAATCTGGGGGGGGCCTGCCCCCCATGCCTCCTCTGGGAATGAATGCGGTGGCGGGGACCCACCCCCCTGTGTCCCTTCCTGCCCCTCCGTGCCTCCTGGATGAGCCACCTGCACCTCCATCCTGCTCCCAGGGTTACATTTACCACCCTGGCTGGGCCGGACCCACCCCCGCCCCACCCCCCCACCCTCTACCTCACTGTGGGGGCCTTGATCTGCCTCCCCACACACCTTCCCTCCCCCACACCCCTTTCCCCACCAGACTTACCAGCCAGACCCTGCTCTCCAAGCTGCCTGGCTGCATTTCTGGCTGTGTGCCTGCTTTGGCTGTGTGCATGCATGCGGCATTTATCAGTGACATCAGGCCAAAAAATGCCAATTGCTGATAATGTTAATTTTCCTGTCATCAGTGCTGATCTGATATGCCACCGATATATTGGTGCACCTCTAGTTATAAATGGATGCAACCTAGATATGAGCCAATTTTGCACTGTCTGAGTTTGGTCCATCTAATTTCATATCTCAGTGAATCTGTCTCAGTTTCAGCTGTCACAACCTTCTTCTCAAAGCTATGTATGTTATCCATCCCACAGCCTCAGCAGTTTGCACATACTGATGCATACTAGCTTGGAAATAAAATTGAACACTGCACTAGTATTTCCACCTGATCCACTCCCCTGACATACCTGACAAAAACACATGTTGAAACCAAACTTCAGATTTTTCCCATAAAACAGAATGTGCTGTTGTAACTAAGTCATATTTGTAAACTGATCAGTTTTACGTATTGCTGTTTTATACTGTTAGTCATACAGGAGGCTGGTAGTTGTGCATTATTTCATCTTTTTTCAAAGTAACTTTCTGTCTAAAATTGGCATTTTTACTAGTAGCATTTCAGGGTTAAGGCTGCCTGTCATACCGTGTCCTTTACTTACCTTCCAACTGTTCTACAGACAGTGAGCTAGTTAGGAGAGAGATAATTTGCCTAGCAAGGAAAACTTGTGTGTGTGTGTGTGTGTGTGTATATATATATTATATTATATTGTTATATCATTTTCCCTAGTGATTGCAATCTGTATTGAAGAATAATGGAATTAACTCAACACTAGGGACACTACAACCAACCTTTCTTACAAAAAGGAAAAATTTAATGTGAAGTTCCCTTGGCCAATAAGATAGAGGAGGGTTTCAGTCTAAAACTTTATAAACCTTGCAGATTAGCAGATTAGCAGTCACTACTGATACCATTTCAGTTTCTATGGGTATAAATAATTCAATTAGCAGGGAAAGTTAAGTTATGTCATGCAGAGAAGATAATTTACAGGGTATTTC